ACCTGGCGGCCGCGCGGCTGCTGGCGGTGCCTGGCTGAATGCGAGACCTGCACGGACCCGGCGGCAGACGGCGGCTTTCGACTCCGGGAAGCGAAACGCGCTGGCCATGGCCTCCAACTTTAACGACATAGTCAAGCAGGGTTACGTGAAAATCCGCAGCAGAAAGCTCGGGGTGAGTTCTGCGCTCGCCTTTTTCCTTCCTCCGCGCTCTGGTGGCCGGGTGGTAGCTTGGGAGTTGGGGGCGGGGAGAGGTGACCCCCGCGGGGATGAGAGCAGAGACACCAGTCCTTCGCGGACAGTCCGCTTGTTGCTTGGCCGGGAGAGGGGCCCACACCTGCCTGGGGCAACGTGGAGACGGAGCTGAGGGCTGCAGGAGCGCCTTGGTGCGGGTCCTCGAGCGCGGGGCTGATTTGGACCTTACCGAGAAGTCCGGGAGACCAAGGGGCTTGTCGGTTCCAAAGAGAAATGTGCCTGGGAGGGGACTCGCACACCGCGCCCTCCACCACGGTCTCCTCGCTCTCCAAAGTGTGCGCCTCTGGGTAGAACTGCTTGCTCTGGGTGCAGACTCCGAGGCATGCGTGTGTGTTTCGAATCACCATTTTCTGGTCCCTGCTGCCCACAGCCCATTTTGAAATTCTCTCCTGATCCCCCGTCAGCGCCGCGCGTCCCTGCAGGCTATAGCAAGCGGGTCTAATGTGCCCTTTTACCGTTCCCCAGTGAGTGACAGGCTGTGCGTGCGCCCGGCTTGAGTACCTGCGCCCGTGTGCAGGCAGGTGTGTATTCTCGCACTCGCCCACTGACACGAGAGAGTGCGCGGCGCCAAAGTTTATGGAGACCTTCGCCTACTTTTTTCAGAGATGTCTTGCCTGACTTGGGAGATAAATCGTTTAGACTCCCTAGGTGCAAAACTCCTCTAATGACCAAATGAGGAGGTAAGAGGAAAGCGCTGACTGTTCTAGAGGACTTGGGGTGTAGACTGGAGAGGGTTGCAGAGGAGGGCGGGCACCTGGGTTTAGAGCTGCTCAGACTTGGAAGCGAAGGGGCGGAGGTGCCCACGGGAGCGCGCGACTGCGCTGGCAACTGACGCCCACCAGGGCAAGCTGGTCCAGAACAGGGAAGGAAACTTGGCCCAAGGGAGGAAGTGCCGGCTTTCCGATTTCCCTGAATGTCTCTCTGCCTCTCTAGCCTCAAAGTTCCAGTTCTGAGAAGCTCTGAAATCCTGGAGCAGTGGCCTAGAGGTAGATAGCTCCCTGTGCTCTCTGGTGAATGGATGCATATTCCAACCGGGGAAGAGGAAGAGGTAATTTTCTCCCAAGACAAGAGAAGAAATGTCCCCTCCTTGGTAGTTGAAAAAGGGTACAGAGGAATGTTGGAAAGAGGGAACATCACCACTTACAGAGCAGTTCTTAGGGAAAGTCTGCAGAGGCAGATGTTGGGGTCACAGGAAGGAAGGGAGGTTGCTTCTCTTCTGCTGTGCTGGGTTTTGCTTTGAAGGCTCTGGCTGTACCCCAAGGACCCAAGGAACTTCTGGTAATCTGTAGAAGGCTGAGAAGTAAAGGTTGAAATAACACAGAGCTGAGCGACTGGGAAGCTCCTTTTATTAGCCTGCCACCCCTAGGGCAAGAGAGAGCAGGCCCTGCAATCAGACCTGCAGTTTGCTCTCAAGGACTTTTCTTGGTTATCAGGTCACACTTCATTCCTTCCCAGAGAGATAAGGACAAATCTCAGTGAAAACTTGAAGTTGTCTAGGAAGAAGGAGGCTTAATTGCTGTTGCAAGCTACAACACAGTGCTCAAATCTGTCCTCACAACTATCAGCCAAGAACCCAGGAGTGGAGCTGAGCTGCAGGGGTAGCCTGAGAGGCCTTCTTAAATTCACCTTTGGTGCCCTTTGATCTTTGGCATAGTCCGTGCTCATCCTTCACTCCCTTTCTTTTTCTTGAAGCCCCAGTTGTCTGACAGTTGAGACTGTACAAACTAATGGATGCATTAAGTCCCCCAGGGAGATATATTTCTCCTTTCACAGAGTCACTGTGCAGAAAAATGTGATTGAAGAGGCCAGAGAACCCCCTTCCTGGAATTCACAGGATCCTTCTTTCATCCAAGATTTCCAGGATTCCATACAATAAAAACCGAATATGTCACCTACTTATAAGATTGAACCAAGGAAATAACACTGACTGCTTCTTGGGCAACTATGGCAGTAAGAGCTTTTGAAATGTCATTTCAGAACATCACTTCTACCTAACTAAAGGGTGTATGTATTTTTACAACATAACATCTTTTCCCAAACTCACTGTTCAGGGTTTTGGCTTTGCAAAAAGCAGCCCCTATAGAAAACAACACCAGTGTGTTTATATGCAAATTAACTTTGTCTTCCGTTTGCACTTGAGAAATGTGTTTCAAAGTTTAATCCTGAAAAAAGTTGATTTTTATAAACTAAATATGAGAGAACATCTTTAAAGAACTTTAAAGACATTTTTATTTAGAATGTTCTAGTATTCAGAATAGGAAACAAATGAGAAAACTTCACACCATTGGTTTTGTGAAGGTTAATAAGCAGGTGTCATAAGATAGTAAACTCTAAATAAATACTGCATGCTTCCATAAACTAAAAATATCCTTATGCCCAAATCGTAGAAATGGGAATTACATAAATATTAATATTTTTCATAATTAACAATACATATTCCTTGACTCAAAACACATTTCCAAATAAAATATTTTAAACTCTAAGAATACATGGTGATTTTTGCAAGATTTATGGCCAACACTGAATTTCAAACAATAAATAATTATAACTCAGTATGCATAATTACTTGATTTATTATGAAGTGAACCCATGCTTTCAAAAATACATTTTATAATATTCTATTGAAAACACAAAGGCCTGGGTAGGAGGCAAATTGTATCAGAGACAATTGTGACTTGAAAACATTTTATGATGAAATGTTCTACTGTATTTTTAATGCTTCACAAATTAGTGCTTATATTTTATGATGAAATGTTCTAATATATCGTTTATTCTTCACAAATTATTGTTTAGTGTAATGCTGAAGAAGGGAAAAAAGGGTTTCTTGCCCTCTAGGCAAGTGTTCAACTTTGCAAAGCTACTTCTAGGTTGAAATTGTTGAATCACCTCTTCCATGTGTCTTTCGGAAGAATCTACTGACTTGTTGAACATAGATTCTTAGCCAAGCATTTGGGCAAGAAAATTCGACTACTTTTTTGAAATTTGTCTTGACTCGTTAATTAGATTTTCTGCTACGTAGAAAAATAATTTCAAGGAACAAATAGAATAATATCTTTGAATTTTACTGTTGCTCTTTAAAAATGTTTGTTTAGTCAGATTTTATAGATATTAAGTTTTAAGTAATATGAATTTTATTTTATAATTATTCATTTAAATTCTATACTAAATTCTCATTATGTTTCTACTAATATATATTTTCTAATTTTGCAGGAATTAAAATACCCTTAGATTGTCTGGTTTTTCTAGCCATCTATTTTTTACTTGATTGGTATCATAATTTATAGGGTGCTATGACAGCTAGTTTGGTTGTTTTCACAAAAAGGATACTTGTAAACACTCATTAAAGTAAAACAAAAGCATAATCAACGTTCTTTATCTCTTAAGCTTGCTTAACTATTTTCTTCTGACTGCTGATGGATTAAATTTAGTAAGCAAAGCATGTATCGCAGAATATCCAATCTGTTCTTGAATTGCAGCCAAACTAAGAAACTAATCACTGAAATCATTAATAACCTAATACCTTGCTTATTGACTCTATAAATTTACCAAAAATATATGCAGCTTATGGAATTATATCAATCATCCTCACCAACTACTTGAACACATTCCAGACTGCTATAATTTAACTAATTCTAATCTCATATCTCAAATCATTGCTTTAAAAATTTATTGAAATAGATGATGACCATCCCTAATAAAAAAATTCAAAATTAGAAATGTTCCAAAATCCAGAAGTTTTGAGCACCAATATGATGTCACAGGTGGAAAATTCCAAGCTTTTCCTCATATGATTAGTAGTTATCAAAAGTACATACTCTAAACAGAGTATGTGAAATTTCTTCATGCTATGGTACGTAAGGTACATATGAAAAATAAATTAATATATAATTTAAAATTAAATTCTGCCCCCTGATATCTCATTTTAT